CACAATATCATGCCTCGCCATTACCTTGTTAAGATACGTGTGATTGCATATATGATTTGCATGATCTCATCACAGCACAAGTGCAATTAAAATGCAAATTGAGAATACTTGCCATACCAGATTGTGTTTGCGCTGAACGGGGCACTTTACCAAAACCCTCGTACACCTGAAACATAAGTGAAAAAAGCAACGTCACTTGAAACCAATAATGGAGAAAAATACAACGCCAGTGTCATCATAATCACCATACATACGGTTGCATCCTAAATCATCAAGCGTAGCTACAAAACAACGTAGCCTAATAAGTTACAGGCATACCCAGTTCTTACAAAATAACAACTTGATAGTTAGGCAAAAAGTTGCAAAATACGTATTTCCCACCCATCTCCATAATGACCCTGTAAGTAACAATAGGTAAAGAAATGAGAGATGATTATTTGTAATAAATTGCACGACCGTATAAGCAGCAGATCAAATTAAGTACCTGAAATGACAAACTAGCTCCCTCCCTCTTGCATTTTCCTGAAATTTTCTAATAAAGCTCTCTGACCGAAGTCAGTCTTACCTATAAAATGCCTGGCCTTGGACTCATCCTCAAAAATGTGATCATAAAAAAGCTCCAGGAATTCTATTGAGTATGTATCCTTGTGCTTGAAGATGGCTTTGGACAATTTCTCTGTCCAGTGGAGATTAATAAGATTTATAGAACTTGAAAATTGTTTAACTTCGTCAACCATTTGCTGCATTATCTCTTTCTCGTTTAGACCCTTCCTCCCCCTCGCTTTAGCCGAAGTGATTCTCCTCTGTTTGTCCTTATTGCTTGACCAGACATTGTTGTTTTCAGATTGAGTTTCTTCATCTACTAGGTTGACTGACCGAGGTGACTTTTGGGTCAAAGGAATGCTAACATCCTCGTCGTCATCACCTGCAAGGTTAATCGGATCCTGACCTCCAAATTTCTCCATTGCAGCCTTAGCGAAGTTACCTCTCGCTTGATCATCCCCACAAATGATAGCTAGGTTCTCATAGTGCTTCAGAGGCTTATTAATGTACTCTTTAAGCTTGCTCTTATTTTTATCCTGCTCGCATAAATACACATCATTTTACCAAATGTGCATGAGAAAGAATCCAACAAAATTGGAGCGAGTTTGAAAGCATATACCTCATTCCACGCATCAAAACTCTCTGGATCCAACATTATCGTTTGAGTATCTTCATCCCAACCTGCACCACTAATGTTACGAGCCGCCTGCATGTCTTGAAACCAAGAACGAATTGTTTTCATATGATTTACAACACTTTTCGTTTGAAAGGAAGTACCAAACTCCTTGTTCACTTCAGCAGCTGCCATAGCAAAAGCATGTTGCTTGAAGTTTTTGTCTGGCTTAAGACCAGACTTGGCCAATTTTGCAAGGAAGGGTATAAGCACGTCATCATGTGCAGAGGTCCACCATCTGGTTGGGCCAACCTTTGTAGCTTCGACCTCAACTGTGTTTCTTCTTTTCTTATGGGAAAGGGCTTTGCCCTTTCTTGGTGTACAAGCAGAAGTTGCTACTGCTTCATCCCTGTCACTTCTTTTGTTGTTACCTGAGTTAGAATTAGTCCCTGTAATACTAACTGGGTAAGGAATTTGGCCGGATGAATTCGAGGCTTGAAAATTTTGGTGCAAAGGTGGTGGACTATTGAGCATGTGCATGTAAGATGAAACGGGATGATGCATAGCGAAAAAGTTACCATCGTAGCTTGTCATATTTGGAAAACCTGACTGGAACATGGAATTGACACTGTGGGGAAAGGGTAGGCTTGCGGAGAAAGCATGAGATGATGGTGGGGCCATTGAATTTTCAGAGTGAGTGGAAGTCACATCTTTGCCTAAATTCATCTGTTCGGATCTTGATTTATCCCCCATTGCCTATATTTAAACCAATTCAGTCATGATAAAGTGAAAACTGGATCAGTTAACAACATAGGAATATTACTAAAGCAAATGAGTAAAAGATGACAATACACGCATGTATTTTAAGAAAGCTCAGATATAATATATTACCCATTACATTTCAGAGCACAAATGGCATAGCAAGCAATTAATAAGTCTAATAATGCATACATAAAACTGCAACAGAAACTAAATCACGCTGAATAAAAGGACAACGTCGTACAGCAGTATTATAGACTCACAGATATCTAAGTAATACGTTACACAATCACCTATCTTAAAATAATTGTCATAATCTCAGGACTACCATAGCAAATCACAATGCAGACTCGTGAGTGTCACCATGCCGATATTTCATACAATAATCAATCCACATGTCCATTGCGATTTGATCTCTAAGAGACCTCCACTCATCCTTTGAGGTGTTTTGTTCCCTGACTATTTGGGGTTGGGTGAAATCCACAACGTTCGTTTCTTCAGTAATTTCCTCCGCGGCGTCCTCCTCTTCAATGTCATTGGTCTCATTGAGTAATTCATCCTCTGGATCAACTGTTGCAATGTAGTTATGGAGAACCGTGCATGCCAGTACAATGTCTACTTGTGTGGGGAAAGGGTAGTGCGGTTTTGCGGTGAGAATCTTGAAACGATTCTTCAATATACCAAAGGTAGCTTCAATCTTTGACCTCAAAGATGAATGTCTCAGATTGAATAGCTCCCTCCTATTTTGAGGTGTTCTTCCCGCAAACTCCTTTAGATGATAACGCACACCACGATATGGGGATATGAAACCTGGCTGGGTTGTGTAGCCCGCATCACACAAGTAATATTTTCCTACATATTTAACAGGATTTTAATATGATTGTTATAATGTAATATTTAAGGAGGAATAACAATTTGAGATAACCAGAAGTTTACCAGTGTACACCCGTAAGCCATATGGTTGTGGTCTAGATAGAGCATCTTGAAGGATTCTATAGTCGTTAGCCGACCCCTCCCACCCAGCTAAAACGTAAGTGAATAGTTTGTTTGGGGTACAAGCCGCGAGTACATTTTGTGTGACACCTTTGCGCCCTCTGAAACGCGAAACAAGTGCAGCTGGTAGCATAGCATCCACATGCGTCCCATCTATCATACCTATGCAATCCTATGGAGTACAACTAACTATGTTAATGTATTTTAAGATTTCGGCGATAATTATTTAGGAAAAATGGTTGAGTGGATGATATACCTTGAAATATGGATAAAATGACGGGTTGCTTAGGATCTCTTGAGGTACTTCATTCGGGGCTTGTTTCATAAATCTGCCTTGTATGCGCGAAATAGCTTCCAATACTCTATTGAAGTACTTACTGACTGTATCTCCTGATCTTATGAATTGGGTTCTCATCATACGATTTTTGGATTTATGTCCCAAAATATTCAAAGATATGGCGAGTTGCTCCTCAACTGTTATATGCCTTGAGTCCTTTAAGAGTTGTTGTTTCCTCATTAACGTAGCTAGTTTCATAAATGCACCCGGTCGCATTCTAACAAAGTTTTGACAGCTATCACTATAACCTTCAAATATACGACTCATCAATTCAGACCTAGCCTTTTCCCTGCGCAATTTCTCAGCACTTGGTCCAGACCGTAGTGATCTACGGCGGCATTTAATTCTCCTCAAAAAGGTGAAAATTATTACCATGACTGAAAATGTAGCCCCAACACACATTCTTTTAACACCCTCTTCATCATCATAATCACCATCCATCTACAATATTTAGCTATCAGTTAATATATGATATTAAAATTCAGAACACACATTTTAGTTACTCAATTCAGTGTGACATCAAACAAATATAGGTTACTGTTATTTTTAGCTTCTTTCAACCACTCCTCAAGTAGATACAGTTTTAAACCAGCCTTCAAAAAGATTACATAGCATGATTTGTACTAATTTTTTGCCAACAGTATGATGCTATGATATATGACTAGAATTCTGTGCTGGAACTGTACGGAAAAGGGTGATAAAAAATTCAACTATGTAATTCTTTTTCATGTTATTAGAGAATTTAGTAAAAGATGAGGAGGAATGGAGGACAACGGATGGCTAAATCCTTCAACATGTGATGCCCCGTCCACTAACAGAGCACTAGAGACCTTTTCAATGTAGAAACATGTGATATTTCCATATGATCTCCAGCTTTAACCCCCACCTATTACCACATCTCATGTGTTCTCCTTAATTTCCCCCTAATACAAAGGTTAGAAGTGATTTCTCCTCAGTATTTTTCCTAATTGACTAACCAACCCACAAAAATCAAGACTAATTGTTAGGATATAAGACCAGTTAGCTGGCAGTTATAGTGCATCACAACATGCGTAGCAATCTGATCACGTACATGGATGAATTAAGAGGATACACTCATAGATCGTGGTGCATGTTACTCAATAATCAAAATATGCTCTTTGAGTGAGGAATACCTTAAGGACAAAGTAGAGCGAGCCTCAAGCAAGTCGTAGTTGATGGAATCCTCGTTCAAGCACTACAGCTGCCAGGCCGGGCTCAGATCCGACAACCAATTCGGAGGGGAAGAAGATAAGAGGCAGAAAGCACCCGATAAACCCACCGTCGCCGCTAGATCTGGCGACGATAACACAGTCAGCCCTAGAACGGTCGTTCAGGGCCTAAATTTCCAGTTTTCTCAGAGTGAGGAAGATGAAATTAGAGCCGGAGCATAGGAGCCGGCATGAGGCGAAGCAATGGGGAAGAAGAACGAACCGAAGAGTCGGTGACCCTAAACCCTAAGCAAATCCCAATCTTCTTTCCCCCGCCTAGGAAATCGCCCCTGCGAATATTAAATTGGGCGGAGAGGAGTTTTCTGGGTGTTTTCACGCCCAAAACCGCTGAAATCGGATGCTCTTAAAGTCCGACGTGGAACCCTATTTCAGGCCCCTATTTCTCTAAATATGTTTGCCAAACGAACACGTGACTTGGAAATCTTGGGAAAACCGGATCCTATGTGGCAGCTGGTTTTGTTTTCAAATCACAGTTTTCCACTCGTTTTTGGCCCAAACGAACAGGCCCTAAAAACAAAACGAAAGTTCACAGGTACCCGGCTGCGAAAAGACCTCCTCGGTCATCATCATCACGCGTCACATAAACGCGGCCATCACCTCCTCAACAAAACCAACTCAACAGCAGTCAGCAATGGCCACATGATGATACCGCACATCTAGGAGACCGAGACGAGGACAGCGAATCCGGGTCGGGTCCCAAATGCGAATCCGAACCCGAACCCAACAACCCGCAACCGTTACCTTTATATGGGAGGAAACCCCCTCGTCGACGGCGTGCGTCGCTTGCTCCATCGCCGCCGCCACCAACGCCCTCCTCTGAGTGCAGATCGAGAGGATTCGGGTCCGGATTTATCCGGGATTAGATCCATTAAGGTCTCTAATCGAAGTCGGGTCGCTGGACCCGAATCCATTAAGAAGGTAAAGTTGCAGTTGGATCTGTGGAACTCTCTGAGTACATAGATTTGTGCGATTGTTCATCTGGGTTTTTCTTATATTTGGTTACTGAGTTTTGGGATTTTGTGGTAGAGGAAGAAATTGTTCTTTAGTTCATTGAAAGGTGTGACCTTTTTCACTAATTAAGTTGCAATTTGGCTTTTTTGTCAGTAATGCATGAAGTTTTAGAGCTAAAGGTTTGATCTTTTGGTGATTATGGTGCTATCTGATGATTTGCTGCTGGCCATTTTGTTTTTTATGAATTTGTAGCAACTGGGTTTGTTTTGAAGTGACATTTGGTTCAAAAGTTTGTTGCTTTTTACCTATTAGCTTGCAATTGGACATATCAGACTCATTTTCCTTGTATCGGTTGCTGAGTTGTGGAATTTAGAACTGACGAAGGAGATTAACTAAATTGAGATTTATCATTTATGGCAACAAATGTTTCTATCATGGGATAACTTTAGTATAGGAATTGATTCAACTAATCTTGCATCTTGCAGAGGGAATTGATTCCAAGATTAGAAACTCGTTATTTGGGGGAGTCTGTATCTGGGTTAGGAATTTAAATGTCTGAGAGATAGAATCGACTTTATTTCTGATATTTTGTCCGCTGAAATCGTTTAGGAGTGATTCTATTCAAAGGTATGACATGGTTGCTGGTTGAGAGTTTTTTGTTCTTGCTCATTTGTCTTGTTTTGATGCCCATTTGTTGGGGGCAGGCATGCTAATATATTTAGATTATTGTTTCATTTCGTTTTTTTTTAATTTTTATAGTATGTGTGTAACTACAAACATAGTTGGGAGCCTCCATTTGTTAGATTTTATTTTTGCTAAGTTTAGATTTTTGGTATCATTGGTTTTGTTGTTTTCCTTTTGCTTCTATAGAGTCTGACGGCATCTAACATGTTGTTTTGTAGTAATTTGTTGGGTTTTTGTTGTTTTTCTTCACTAAAATGGGTATGGTTGGATTTTGTTCTTATCTTCTCTAATCTACAAAAAGATTCTCGTTGGTTGTATGTGTTTCTTTTATTGGTGGTAATAGAGGTGAGAATAATAGACTTCAGCTTCTCACTTTTATTCTCAAAAGAGTTTATCAGATTCAGTTTATTTTTTTCAGCAGGACCCGTTCTTATGTATTCCTCTTGTAAGGCCTAAAATCTATCAATTTTTGTTCCAAACTTTTTAGTTATTGAAAGTATTACTAATTTCCTTTCTGTGGTTTTCTTTATCTATAAGAATTCTTGTAGGCCCCCCTCGTCTAAAAATCACAATAGATAGGCTATCCCCACAAAAAACCACAACGATCGGATAAAACGAAGTACCATATCTTTGATCGACTTCCCAAGTAGGCTACAATTTGAGGACCTTGCACCGAAACTGATGATAACTCCAATTCAATACCTTCACCAATCAAACCATCGGGAGTTACAATCTGACGACTCTCATTATTGTTTCAAGGAGGGCCAAGACAAAGATTACGAAGAGGAACCGATCGTGAAAAGCCCTACAAAAGAGACCTACAAACTTGACGGTCTCCCTTCGATATTAGACATGCACGATTCTCCTCCAAACCGTAAGGAATTTGGCCAAACGGAGGAAGCGACACCGACAGCCTTCGCTTGGTTCGGATGGCCCGTCTCCGTCGAGATACGCCATTTTCATATATAGCATTCTCTAATTCCGACTTACGGTTTTGAAAGTGTATTGACCGTGTTCTTCGCAGCCAAACTTATGTTCTGAGGTCCGTCTGCAAGACTGGACTTCATCATAAACATAAAACATTGGACCCTTAGCCTGAAGCCCGGCCGAAGCGCCCCCTAAGGTTCGGCCTCCCTGCACTACAGAGTCCAAAGCGCAGCATCGCTCCAACTCTGCGTTTTCAACACTCAAAACGCCCAGAGTTAATCGCTAAAACAGCAGCAACTGCGCGTTTTCAGCCTTTAAACAGGCTCAACTCTGCGTTTTCCAGTCGCTAAGAAACTGCAGATTAATCTCTAAAACAGCAACGAACTGTGCGTTTTAGCCCTTTAAACAGGCCCCCCAACTCTGCGCCGTTTTTAGCCTAAAACGCAGAGTTCATCCCTCTACAAAACGGCATGCGGCCTGTGCGTTTCGACTCCCAGCGAGCGCCCCAACCTCCTGCGCTCTCATCCTTTAAGACGGCAGAGTTAAGGTCGAACGCAAAGCAGGCCTTGCGTTTCAACTCCCAACACCGCCCAAACTCCTGCGTCCTCATCAATAAGACCAGAGCTTACGAGGCCCGAACGCTGTTTTTCAGCGTTTTACCTCGTTCAAAACATGACGCCAGCACTAACAGCACCAAACGTTTCAAAACCGTTTTCCCCCACTTATTTCGGGAGCTGTTACAGAAGCTGGGGTGGGTTACACCCCACCTCAGCCCCCATGGAGGAGCTAATTAAGGGGGCGTTGCCACCCTACTATACAGCAATAGAGGTGGCGCGAAACTCCAACTGAGTTCGGCGCTCCATCCTTTTTGCCATGGATTTGCTTGGGAGAGAAGGCTTTCCTGCTTTTGGCTCTCGGACCATGTTAGCGTTTTGGGAGCAGCAACAGGAACTTCTCTTGGCTTATTAACCGAACTTCGGTTCAACATCAACTCTTTTCAGAGTTACTCGTCAGAGTTACACTCGATCGATTCAAAAACTGCTCTGCAAGTCTTCTAAAACTCGTTGTCAACGAGAAGCAAACTCGACGCGAGCATTCGAGGGAGGCATCTCATCGCCACCGTGAAGAACCCAGAATTAAACAAAGGGGAGAATCAAATTCATTCTCCTCTCTTTTGTAATCGGAATCCAAATTGTAATCGATTTTGAGAGGAATACAAGTCAATTTTTCTTTCACTGTCTTTTTACTGCAAATTTCCAACCAAACAAAAGATGGCGACTCTGCTGGGGATGAGCTTCTCTGACGAAGAAGTAGTGGTGCAATCCGACGTTCATCTCACTGGAATGACCGTTGAAACTCTGATCATCGAGTTCGATCAAGCCTCGATTTTGAGAGGAATACAAGTCAATTTTTCTTTCACTGTCTTTTTACTGCAAATTTCCAACCAAACAATTTGATTCAAAGATTTTGATTTATATCTGACCAAGTGGCCAGATTCGATTCTCAAAGTTTGGTTCTAAAGTTATGTTCTTTTTCATTCATTAGTGATGAGTTTCCGCAGTTTGTGATTTTCTTGTCATCTTTGGTCCTTTTGTATTTCATCTAATTTTATCAGTCGCCAAGGGAAATAAAAGAATTTTTAAGGGAGAGTTACAAACACGATTATTTATCATATATCAATGCTTCAGATAGAGTAAAATGTCAAAGGTCACTTCCTAGTTTATTGCAGTCCCACCCCCCCCCCCCTCACCCCCTTTAATTTATATAAGATCTTTGTTCTGTAAAGCTATACTTCATACTTGATCAATCTTCTGTTTTCCTGGAGATTTCGACATTAATATAATGGAGTTTCTTGTTTTGGAGTCCTAGAAGTTAGGGACTTGAATGCTAGGACAATAAATTTCAACTAATCTTTAAAGAGAATTCTGTTCAAAGCTTTAGTTGTTGAGAGTTTCTTGTGTTGGTTCATCTCTTTATTTCTTCATTTTTACTCATCACTACCCCTATGAGGTAATGTGCTTTGTCACTGCACATGGCTTAATTTTTTTTAATACAAATTCAAGCAATTTCTTTTTCTCAGATTATGTTCCTTCAAACTAATTTTTTTTTCCGTTTATCTGTTTTCCTTTTGTTAGCTTTTCCATGTTTGCTTACATTTAGAAGAAAGGACAAACTTAAGAGTATAGTAATTCTTTTTTATTTTTGAGATTTTTCATTACTCATATTTTTCATTATTGCAAATTATTCAGAACATGCATGACTCAGAGTTCTTCACAGAATATGGCGAGGCAAGTCAATACCAAATACAAGAAGTCATCGGGAAAGGGAGTTATGGTGTTGTGGGAGCTGCTATTGACACCCACACTGGAGAAAGGGTAGCAATCAAGAAAATCAATGACGTCTTCGAGCATGTCTCAGATGCCACACGAATCCTTAGAGAGATTAAGCTTCTCAGGTTGCTCCGACATCCTGATATCGTGGAGATTAAGCATATAATGCTTCCTCCATCTAGAAGGGAATTTAAAGATATTTATGTTGTTTTCGAGCTGATGGAATCAGATCTTCACCAAGTTATAAAGGCAAATGATGATCTTACCCTTGAGCATTATCAATTTTTTCTGTACCAGCTTCTTCGAGCCTTGAAATACATCCATACAGGTTAATTTTTTCTTTTCTTTTGATATTTGAGTGTTGATTTCCTATTAAATTTAATAACGGGATTATTTCTTTTTTTTTTCCAGCTAATGTATTCCATCGGGACTTGAAACCCAAGAATATACTTGCCAATGCAGACTGCAAGTTGAAAATCTGTGACTTTGGACTTGCTCGCGTTTCATTCAATGATACCCCATCAGCTATTTTTTGGACTGTATGTGACTCTTCCTGTCAGTTGTGTTATTGGGCTGTTAATTTGTTTAAGTGTTTTTCAGTGTTTGTTATGTTTAACGGATATAAGTGATCTGGGATTTTCATGTTTCTTTCTTTGGTTATATTGTTGGTTCATGTGCTACACCTTCTTTTTTAGGATTATGTTGCAACTCGGTGGTATCGGGCTCCTGAACTATGTGGTTCATTTTTCTCTAAGGTGAGAACTAATTCAACTTTGTGTATACATAACATTTTTTGTACAAATAAAGGTGTTGCTAAGAGGGGCATAGATTTTCTCTAAGTTTAGACTATCCTACCTTATATGCACGTGATTAATTTTCTTCAGTTTAAGTCCATCAATCCAATTTAATATATGAAAACATTACCTCCATACTTTTACACAAACCTTTGTCACATCAATGGATAGCGGTAACATGCATGCTCTTGTGAAGTTTTCTCGACTGAAATAACTTTGAACCAAGGTTCTTGCATTACCTGTGATAGCTCAAAAACAATTTTCAGATGACATAGGTCTTTATCAGGAAAATAACCCTACTTATAATTTGTTTGATCATGAATTTTTTGCTACAAGAGCAAATGTGGCTCCATATCATCCTAATAAAATATTCCAGATTTAAGAAAGCTCTCATGAAATAAAAAGCGAAAAATACTGAAAGTGTGTATTCATATTTGGGTGGCCATATCTAAATTGCAATGCCATTTATTCTACTCTAGCTGCGAGAATAAATGATTATTACACTTGGGTACTGCTTGGCATTTGTTTTAAGGAAGAGGGATCAAGTAGAAGCTTTAAATTAAGACTGGTTATGTTAACTCCTGTGTTATTATTATGTTTCTCAAATTAAGACCTGTTTACCCACTTTGTGTAAATTTTGCATATTTGGCCAGTTAAGGAGTAAGCCCTCCATCCCTCACTTATAATTTCTTAGTTTCTCCTATTTTTAAGTTGTGCTGCACTTGTTTTATATCATTCACATTTCTCGCATGTATCTATAACTTCATTCACTATTGACGAAATGAATTTATCTCGTCCAATTAATGTCCTTTTATCTTTGTTAACCAAGTGATAAAGATACTTTCAGCTTCCAGCCAGGAACCAACACCTTCAGAATACGGCTATAAAACTGCTGCAATATGCTAAGCTTGATTTTTGTTATATTTGGTTTGCAGTATACTCCTGCAATTGATATTTGGAGCATAGGATGTATATTTGCAGAGGTATTAACGGGGAAACCATTGTTTCCTGGGAAAAATGTCGTGCATCAGTTGGATCTCATGACCGATCTACTTGGAACCCCTTCACCTGACTCCATTGCAAGGGTTGGTCAAATATTCCCTATTTTCATTCTATGTTCATCATAATTATAATTTGCTTTTATCTGCTATCTTTACTTTCTGAGTAATCTTAATTATCTCAGTAATCATATTCTTACTGAGACATACCTGGAGTACTGGATAAAGCACTAGATAGATCAGAGTCTTAGCTACCAGATGTACACCATAATATATGTTAGAAGTCTTTAGTTGCAAGACTATAAGGTCACCTGTGAACATAATTTAAGAGAGATATTTTTTTTGAATTAATCTCTTAAAATCCAATTGCTAAGTTCGCATGGCTAATTAGGCCGGGCTGCATGTTTCTAGGACCGTCACTAAGAACTAAGTTACTAACATGATATAGTCAATAGGGTCGAAGGCATACACGTCTACAACTATTATGTGTCTCCGTTCTTATCCAGTTTTTTTTCTTTTAACTTTATTTCTTCTGGTGTTTGTTTGTTAAATTTTAGCTTATTGACAGTTGTGTCTTCTATTTGTAGATTCGAAATGAAAAGGCAAGGAGGTATTTAAGTAGCATGCGGAGAAAGCCACCTGTTCCTTTCACTCAGAAGTTCCCTAATGCAGATCCACTGGCTCTGTGTTTGCTCGAGCGACTTCTTGCATTTGATCCCAAAGATCGGCCTACTGCTGAAGAGGTAAAGCTCATCAAATTAGGTTTGCTTCTCATGAGGGATCTGAAGTGTCAGTAGAAGGTTAATAAGCGCAATGAACTTTCTAAGCTAATTTTCACGAAACAAACATTTTTTTCTTTCCTTTTTTTTTGGTTTTTTTTTGGGTTTACAAACAACCATAAGCTTTTTTTATTGGAGAAAACTACTAACGGGGTTAAGGCAATAATATATAGAATATATGTTTAAGTACACAAGGACAAAGTCGTCCAGAACATGCCATGGTAGTTTGGTGAAAATAGTTTATGGTAGTTTTCTCTAATAATAAAAGATTATGGTAGTTTTGTGCAAAACACCCCAAAGTTCATGGTAATTTGTGAAATTTACATTATCTTAAATGTTGTGTTTCTGCAGCTGTATTTCTTATCATAGGCTTAAGTTGATCCCTACTTTCATTATGCATGGTAATTTAGTGAAAAGGTTTATGGAAGTTTTCTTCTAATAGAAAGTTTGATGGTAGTTTTTTACAAAACACCCCAAAGTTCATTGTAATTTTGTGAAATTTGCATTTTCTTTCTTAAATGTTGTGCTGATACTGCTGTTTTCTTTTCATAGGCATTAGCTGATCCCTACTTTAGGGGTCTTGCCAATGTAGACCGTGAACCATCAACGCAGCCCATTTCTAAACTTGAGTTTGAGTTTGAAAGGAGGAAACTAACAAAAGAAGATGTGAGAGAGTTAATTTACAGAGAGGTATGGTACCTTCGCTTGTTCTTGCCTGTTGTTTCATTTTGATTCATCTCTGCTGCATATCTCGACTAATAATTGATCTTTGAAAAGCAAACAGATCCTGGAGTATCATCCTCAGATGTTGCAAGAGTATCTTTGTGGTTCAGATCAAACTAGTTTCATGTACCCAAGGTGTGTCTTTATATTTGTGTTACCTCGTTAACTCTTATTTATTATTATTATTAATCTAAAGAACAAATCTTTTCTTGTAAAATAAATCAGTATGAAAAAATATGAATTTTTTAGGTTATTCTTTCATCTTAAGTGTTAATATTCATTAAAGAGTATCAGAGATTATATTTGGTTCTATAGCTTTCCTTCTTGCATAAATAAGATGCCGTGTCAATTTAATTATTTAATTATAATGCAGCATATGCCATACCATAATTATCTTAAGGGACCATTGTGTGATTTGTGTCATTCTTAGCCCTTCTTTTTGTAGCTTTGAAGTTTTACCCTTACTCTTATTTGACTTCTATGCTGTTGAAATAATCATTCCCACATCTCAATTTTCTATAAAGGACATTATATTATGCTCTTCAGACTTAAAATTGAATGCAGTATCTCTATGTGATCCATGTTTGTAGTGAGACTTTGATATCTGTTTATTGGCATAGTTGGTACTTTTACTTGATTAATCATTTACTCCGCTATGTGATAATGTTATGTAATCCATGTTTTGCTAACTTTTAGCTTAGTTTTAATGATATTGATACTTTGAAATTAATAGCTAGTGATATATTGCCAAATTAATTGAACAGCGGGGTTGACCGTTTTAAGAGACAATTTGCTCATCTTGAAGAGCACTATGGAAAGGGCGAAAGTAGCACTCCCCTTCGGCGACAATATGCTTCTTTACCGAGGTAATATTCTCGATTACCAATTCATTCATTTTCATGAAGCCATGCATTGGCCTTGAGCGCTTGGAGATGCACCTTATTAGCTATTAAACGTGTGAAATAAACTATAGCTCGACACAAGCAAACTTACTAGAAATGTCATATTTAATTTATGAGGTTAATTACAGATACACCCCTAGCCACTTAAATCCCGAGACTTTTTTTTATTAGTAGTTACACCTTCTTCATATATTTTGTCTTAAATCAAAAGAGCAATTTAGTCTTTTCCAGGTGAAACTAGGGCCAAAAGGTAATTTGTCATTAGATGATTCCCCTGTGACATTTCAGCCGAACATAGCAAATAAATTTTTTGGCAGTTCAAGGGGTAAAAACGTCCTTGGGAGTTCAGGGGAGCGTAATAGCTAATAAAATAATTTAGATAGTATAAGGGCCCGGTTGGTATCGCTATGGCTGGAGCTTATTCTAAGTAGCTGATAGGAGCAATTTATATAAGTTTCTTGTGCTTAAAAATCATTAAGAGTGAAAATGACAAAAATAGACATAATTAGCTATAAAATTAAATAAGATAAATTTAGAATGAATAAAGTAATAATGTTAAAATATAAATGGTATATATGGTATCAAAACTATTAGAAGCAGAAACTGCTTTTGAAAGCATCCCAATGTTGATTCTAAAAGCAACCCCCCCTAAAAAAACGTCTCGATGTTGATTCTAAAACCACCCCCTTAAAATCATCAACAACAGTTTCAATAAGCATACAAAATAAGTCTTACCAAACACGATTATTCACTGCTTCCTGAAAAAAAATAAGCAGCAGTCTAAAAAAGCAGTACCCAACTGGCCGTAAGTTGTTACACCATGAGTTTAACTTGCTCTTTATTACAGGGAGAGGGTATGTGCATCCAAGGACGACATTCCAGACCAAAACAAAGATTATGAAAGGAGAAGTGCAGCTTCTGTTGCCAGAACTACTCTTCAAAGCCCACCGAGGACCCAAAATGGAGAGGGATCAGAACGTAAATCTGGTATACAAAATGGAGTAAGCAAAGCAAATTACAGCCCTCACAGCTTGCATAGGAGCTCGAGCATCAGCACTACTAAGTGTGTGGTTGCCAATGGAAGAAGGATCTCAGAAGTAAGTGCACCCACAATGGTTTCCCCTCTTTAAATTTTTTCTTCTGATAATTATATAAAAGTTCAATTTTATGATCGGCTTTTCATGCATTAATTCTACTAATATGACTATACGAGGCATGTTCAGTGTGCAGCATGATAAATTACGGATTAACTCAATGTGAATTAAGAAGCTTAAACTGCTATGGGAAGACATGAAACTAGTGTCTTCTTTCTTTCTTTTTTTTTGTGTGTGTGTGGGCATTTAAATACAACAACAGCCGCAACACCAAGAAAACCTTTATCCCAAATTCTTTGCCTTGGCTACATGAATCATATTCATCCATTCATTTCTACTGTGAGTGATCTCATCCGATAAGTTAACGAATTCTATTTCTTTAATTGTTTCTAACCAGTTAGGAGAATTGATAAAATTATCATAGTGGAACACAGAAGAAGGGGGTAGTTTGTAAACTATTTTCATGTACACATCATTACTACAGAAACAACAAGATAACAGCACTTAATTGCCTAGTACAATGATCCATAGTGCTTAGCAGCTCGCATAGCTGTCTCATAAAGTTTTCCCTTCTACATCATAGGTATCAGCATCGGCTTCATGAGTCCATAAGCCTTCATCATTCCCTTCAAATCTCATAATGAATGTCTGATTCTAAGTAGAGAAAAGCTTTATGCCTAGGCAAATTTATTATCATGGACAAATACCCACAACTTGCTAATATTTCATTTTGAAACGTAGCATTTTCATCTTCCAAATTGTTTATCCTTTACATTCTTAAGGTCTTCTCCGTTATTCTGCTTTAAATTATTCCTTCTCCGGTCTAATCAACAATACAATCTATCAAGAAACAATGTATCTGGTTTATTTTTAATTTTTTTAATTTGTTGAATGCAAGGGTGCAATCTCTTAACTCATATTTCTCGGTTTCTGAAGTTTCCTATATCTTAAGTGCTGAAGTTAATACTAAAGTTGCGATTCTAAACTTATGTCAGGATGAATGTCGAACAGATGAGGTTGATGGATTGTCACGCAAGGTGACAGAGTTATATGCATAAATTCAACGAGTGCCACACTCGATACAGGAAGCATTAAGAATAGCACTTGATAAGGATCAATGTGTTTGATTAAATCTTTTGGGTTCGAGTACTTACATGGGGATCCTTGGTGGCTTCCTCTTTGATGTCCTCTTTGTAATTGTTATTTGAAAAAGAAAAGAAAAGAAATCATACAGTTGTAGTAGATTTAAGTTTATAATATCTTAGGTATATTTATGTTGTACTATTTATTTATTTATTTTGATGTTCTAATTTATGATCTGATGATATGATCCTAGTGCTACTCTTGGATTTATTCTACAGTGTTTTTTTTTACAAGTCAATGAAAGGGAACTCTCAGGGGAAGTGAGAGGAGTCATGTGTAATTAAGAGCAGTTTCAAAGAGTACTGGGCTGTAGTAGAATTTTTTCAATGACAGTTACTGAAGGTATGTTTGACTGTGGTCCCAGAGTTATTTTATAATTAAGTCATTAAAAATAAAAAGAAGGGATTTTTAAAGGAAAACATCCCCCCATCCCCCGCTCGTCAAATCCTTGCACTGTAAGCTCTACGCCCCTGCGTATGGAATGCGTGTGTGTATAAAGCAAGGGTTAACTGGGGACGGAGCTTCTGTCGTGCGTTGTTTTGAACTTACAATCTCTCTAGTTTTATTTTTCGCCGATAAATTTCATGATTGAATTCTCTTCGACTTTATTGCCCTCAGAGAAAGAGAATCGTTTTTGATAAAACAACTACAAGTGGATATAAAAGTAGAGAAAAATAGCTTCCCTTCTATATTTCAACTCCTTCCATTCTCTGCTTCTCATTAAGGAACCAAATCCACACAATTCCTTCAGGAGAAGCAGAGAATGAAAGGAGTTCAAAAACGATTCTCTGCTTTTCTCGACTTTATTGCCACTTTCCAAAAATAAGCCTTATAACAAACATAGGAATTGGAATAAATTTATGTGAAAAACTCATGTGTATTATCTATAAATAACTTTTGGGGTGTTTTCTAAGGGGATGTCAGTCAATTGGGGCATTTTCTTGCGAGCGAGCCACCGACCCGGACTTGACTGGGCCAGCGCCTGACCCGGTCCTAAGAAAAGCCCGGCAATTCGGGCATGGGTTTGTCTGTTCGGTGCAACCCGCCTTGGGCTCGTCTGGCCTGACATAACTACTCAGGTCCGGGTCTGACCTGGACCCCGCTCCTATTTAGACTCGATCCAATGGGCAAAAAAATTGCCCATTGGATTAGACGACTAGGACCTAGGCTCAGCCCGACCCAATCCAATAGGCAAAAAAAATGCCCGTTAGACGGGGTGGCTCGGACCCGACCCTGGTTCGGGAGGAGAAAATACCTAGTAATGGCTATTTTTGGTCTTTTAACCAAAATAACCCCAAAAACAGTCAAATAACGACCAAAATTTGAGGGTATTTTGGTCATTTGGAGGGGACTGTTTCTATAAATGGAGTGAGTTTTCATTTGATTTTCTCATTCCATTCATCTACTTCTTTCTAATACTCTCTTATACTCTCCAATACTCTCTTATACTCTCTTATTCTCTCTTATACTCTCTAATTCTCTAATTACACTGGCTTTCTCCTCCGATCATGAAGTGCAAATTCCAACTCCCGACATCGAAATGACTCATACTCCTACTGCTGCTACAACTACTCCTCCTACTACTGATGTTGATCTCGAATCCGGTGGTGATGATCCAATAATTAGAGCTTTTAAAAGGCCGAGATCTAATGTGTGGATTTTTTTGAGAAGATAAAAGTCACCATGGATCAACCCGATAAACTTCTCACTCAGAAGGCTAAATGTGCGTTGTGCAGCCATATATTTGAAGCTCATCATAAGAGTGACACCAACCATCTCAAACGCCATTTGAAAAAATACAACAGAACTCAAGCAGCAATGTCTCAAGGAGACATTCACCAATCTCTACTCTCTCAATTATCTACCTCATGCAGACTCGGTTCTTGGAACTATGATGCAATTAATCCCAGGAAAAGCGTTATCAGGTTTATTTTTCTTAAAAACCTCCCTTTAAAATTAGTAGAAAATATAGTTTTTATCTCACATTTTAAAAATTCTCTCGTCAATCTTGTCAACGTTATATTTTAAAATATTATCACGAAGAACAAATAAAAATAATTTCTTATTTTCAAAGCATAAACTGTAAATTTTCTCTAACTTTTAATATTTGGACATCTAGAGTACAAACTGATTATTTATGTATCATAGCACATTAGATTGATGATGCTTGACAAATGTTTAAAAGAGTTGTTTTTTTAATTACATTTGAAGATTCACACATTGGTGTTAATGTTGTAAATTTAATAATTGAAGAACTTTCAAAGTAAGAAATTTCTAAAAAAAAAAAATCTTTCACTAGATAATGTAAGTAATAATAATTTAACGATAGATTATATCAAACCATCTTTGCTGTTGCAATGTCAGGGTGATATTTTTCATATTAGATGCATGTATGTATTTTAAATTTAATTGTTCAAAGTATATTCAATAAAATTAAACCCATTATAGAAAAAGTTAGGGTTATAGCTTATGCTTATAATGCTTCTGAATAAAGACTTAAAAGATAGAAACAATTGTGTAGAAGAAAAAAAAATTAAAACTCAAGTTAATTTCAGAAGATGTTGACCGCAGGTGGAACTCCACCTATGTAATGTTAAATGTAGCAATAGAGTATAAAAAATTATAAATGATTTTATTGCTTTCTATGCTTTTGGTTCTAGCTCTAGTAGTATGTATGGAATAACTAATGATGAATGAACAATTATATGTAATGTAAAAGATATGTTACAAGTTTTTTATGAAGCTACTATGTTATTATGTAGTTTTATTATCCAACTATTACTCAAGTTACTTTACAAGTTTTAAATATTCGAACATTTGTTTACTATTTATTGCATGGATAATTATTTTAGAAACATGATTTTTAAAATGGAAAGTAAATTTAATAAATATCTTAGATTTATTCCTATTATTTTTTGTTTTTGGTTTGGAGATTTTTATTGATCAATGTTTGAAGGATATTGGCCTTCAAAGTCTGTTAAATTCTTTGTATAAAAACATGATAATAGATACTGATGATGGTCAGACTATTGCTACTCTTACTCATCATAACACTATTAAAATACTATTTTAAAGATTATTTGATGAATATGTAGGTAGATATGTGGTAAGTACACCTCAACCTACAGCTTCTACAAGCTCAAGACGGGGCAAAGATAAGATTTTTGATAGGCAATCGATGATAACGAGGCTAACTGGTAGTAGCCATGGATCTGAATCTGGATCTGGATCATCATCAAAGGAAATTTCTGAAATTGAACAATATTTACCTGCACCTTTAGTTAATTTTTAAAATAATATTGATTTTGATATTTTGCAATGATGTAGAGTATATGGAACAGTTTTATATAATATACTTTCCATCATGGCTCGTGACTTACTAACAGTGCAGGATTCTACAATAGCTTCGGAATCTGCCTTCAGCACATCAGGACATTTGATCGATGACTATAGAACATCGCTAGATCCATCTACCATACAAACTGTAATGTGCCTATAAAATTGGTGGAGGTTTGAGAAGAGAACTCAAGACATTGACCGGATAGCTAATATTGAAGATAGACTTAATGAGTTGAAGATAAGAGATATAGAGTATAAAGTAGTTTGTAATCTTTACTTCTTAGCTATAAATTTGTGATAAATTATTTGGAAAAAGTTGTAAATAATAGTGATATAGATGAGTAGGTGCAAACCTATGAATTCATCTATTGTGATGTGACAAATTCTAAAAAATGTAATTGTTAGTGATTAATAATAAATAATTTTTTTATCATTTTAATTTCTATGATATTTTTATTTACAAATTGTATAATTATAAGTGGTTAATAAGAAGATTGAACTTTTGTCAAAATTTTGCATATTTTAATTACTGTTGAAATTCTATTTTTTTACAGAAACTAATATTAATCATTTTTTTGTAAAAAAAGAAAATAAAAAATGGAAAAAAAATCCGTGCTGACCCGAGCCTGGCCTGGGGTCTCTAGGTTTGAGTCTAGACTATCCATTTTGCCCGGCCTAGACAAGGATTTCCAGGCTGGGACTGCCTGTTTGGACATGCCTAGTTAAAATGAAACAATTCTTTGGTAGCAAAATTAGTGAGATAAATAGGAATAATTTTATGAAGCGAGATAATATGATAAAATAACATGGGATAAATTTTTATAATCATGAAGTACATATATATCCATTTTGAGGATATATATATACCATTTATGTATTTAAACTTACTATTATTGATTGATAATTGTTTACGAGAATGTTATTTACTATTAAATAACTTCTGATTAGACAATAACGTATTGGTAACTGTTATTATAATATATGTTGTAGATTTTTTTATTTTGTAATTATTATTATAGTACAAGTCTAAAAAAAGGTTTTTACATTTTAATTTCTTTTNTCTCTTAATTTTATTATTTAATAAATTATGGATTGAAACCATCTTTACTTTTAAATTAATTATATAATTATAATATTCGGTAAAAAAGAAAATATTACAGTTGACTAAGAGTAGACGAGATTTGATCTCACGACATAGTCTAACGATGGTGATGAGCATAGTAAGAAAGAAGTAAAAAGTATATATAAAAAATAAAAAATAATAAAATAAATAGGAGTTTAAGGTTTTTATCACTTAGCTCTAAGCTAAAACTTAAAATAATTTAAGAGATTAGAACTCTCATTTTTATATAAAAAAATAATTTTATAAAATTATCCGAGTTTTAATTTTGTTAGAATTCTACGGGTGTTTGGTTCAATTTCTAGAAATTATAGCAAATGTTTTCCACCTAAAATATGATTTCCTTGTATTTCTTAAAAAAATTATAGGAAAAGTTTTGAGAAATCAAAAAGTACCAATTTTCTTGTTTTTTGTACTTTGCTTGTTTGGTTCAAAACAAGAAAATAGCTCATAACTTTATAAAAAATAACAAGATTTGGTAGGTTTTTAATTAAATATGGTATGTGTCAGATTTCTGGTGATTTCGTCTCATTTTGAGAGGAAATTGCTTTTTGTAAAATTTGGTAGGTTTTGATATTTTATAGAAAATATTTCTGTAAATTTTTTGTTGAACCAAACACAATTTACAGAAATCTCTAGAAAACTTTTAATTACAAATTTGCTATTGTTAGATGTTTTGAGAAAAGTTTTCTTAAAAAGTGTGCAACCAAACAGCCCCTTAGCTAATATTGTAAAATTTTATTTTAGCTGACCAATGACTAATCCTGTAAAATTTTATTCCATATATTTTTCTAATTCTGGTTTTGAGTTGTATTTGACAACCCCCAACACACAGCCAGAGTTTGGGGCCAAGGGTTTATATAAAAAAAAAAGAAGCCATTGGAAGCCGCCGCAACATCGTTTCATCTTTCTTTTTCGAGTCACTAAAACCCTCGAAAACACCTAACCCTAATTTTCGTCTTCTCCTCGATGGAGGCCCGATCCTTGGCGAATCCGAGTGAGTTTTCAGTATGCTCTTCAGGAATTTTAGCGCATTCGTTGGGGATTGTTGCGTTCAATTTTGAGCTCATTTGAGTTGTCTCTTCTTTAGATTCTGCTAAAAAGTTGGGAGCATTATATTAAGGTTTTTCATATGTTTAATACGGGAAGATTTTGTACCAAAAATTTGATCAGAGAGGTTTTATTTTTAACAACAATAAATTTAAAGGATAAAGGAGAACGACTTTTGGTGCGTTTATTATAGAATTTTTGCGCTCAATTTTTAGCTAATTTCCAGTAGCGCAACAGATTTAGGGCATAAAGGAGTAATATTTTTAGTGTTTTTTCCCCTTGGATTTTTGCTTTTAAATTTAGCCTATTTAGTACAGTTGTGTAGATTTTTAGAGCTGGAGTTATTTCTTGTTCAGGGTCCACTAAAATTTGGTGCGTTATGTTTCCATTATTATGCTTTAACAACAGAAACTTTCCCTTTTCTTACACTATTTCGACAAATTTAGGGCAAAGAAAATGGAGAAAATTGTGTCCTAACACTTTTAACTTCCAGCTTCACTGGGTTACCTAAACTACATTTTAAAAGTAAAGTGCTAAATTTTGTACCGAAATCTCCCCCAAAATCTTCCTACTCTTGGAAAACAAGAAAAGCCCTACCCTTTTCACCCTTATTTCAGTCTCAAGGCATAACAAAGAAATAAATATTTATTCTATACTTATTTCACGCTCTTCGCTTGATTTCAAGGGACACAAGACGAGTTCAAGTATAAAAGCAGGTTGCTGGAGTTTGCTCAGAGAGCATCGATTCCCTTACCGGTTTATCAAACATGTAATGAAGGATCTCTACATCGCCCATTGTTTAGGTCATCTGTCATTGTTGATGGGACGAAGTTTGTATCTCCGCATGTATTTCTGAGGCAAAAAGAAGCTGAGCAGAATGTAGCAAAACTCTCTCTCGATAGCGTTTTAAGTAAGATGAAGCTGGAAGGAATCTCACTGATTCCCGATGTACGGCACATATTCTTTTCTGTGCTCATATGAACTATTCGTGCACTATGTTCTCTCTCTTTAGATACTTGCTTTGGTAATATCTAAAGATGCCCAATTGCTATCTTGATTTATTATGAGGTCATGTAGTGCTTCATGTTTGGTAAAGTGGCAAACACGATCATTCATGAACCAAATTTCTGAAGTTTATGCAATTTCTATCTTCACATGGATTTCATTTCTAATTGTGTATGTTGGACGCATCTCTCGTTGTATCTAGGTTACTTTGTAAAATTGTAGAATAAACTACAAAGAGTGTCCATCATATACCTGCCAAGTATGACATCCAGTGTCCATCCGATATGGGTATGTCCTTCGTCTATCGGGGTGGTTTGTTTGAAAGCACTTTGATGTTTCTACAGATATATTGCACAGTAAAACAAGTAAAGATTCAATTGATCTGGGTAGATAATATGGTGCAAAATGACTAATCAGATTCCTAAGTATAGCATGTCAAGTTGATCACATAGGAGTAAACATTAAAAAAAAAGATTTCTCTCAAAGCTTCTGTTCAACAAATTGAGGAGAATTTGCTTGGGGGCATGGACATGTTGTAAACAGAAGCCAGATTGTGAACAACAAAGTGATTCTATGAGGGCAAGTTGATGATAAAAAGAAAGGAGCTTTGCTACAGGACCCAAAATATAGGACCAACAGGGGGGACATGTGAGGTGTCTTCCTCCTATTGCATAATGAGTCGGCTATCATTAATGATAGTCAACTCTTTATGCAATAGGAGAGGGACACCTCACATGTCCCCCCCTGTTGGTCCCATATTTTGGGTCCTTGGGGACTTTTTCAAAAGAAAGATATCATTGTTAGAACGCTGAATATAAATCCTTGGCATAGAGATCTCAAACAGACGAGCGGTTTGAATTGTTCATGTTTAGCTTAGTATTTAGGCTGAAATCATGCTAGACCCTTCTAGTTCTAGTTCATGTTTGTTGCTTAGTTAAGCTATATGAGTGATTGCGTGCACAACATATGCCATAAGGTTAGGTGCTATTTTAAATATAACTCAATACTGCCATTATGAAACAATATAAATATATACATTTTCTACTATAGCAAGTTTGTCATATTGGAATCAATTAACAATATGAACAAACCTTAGCAATTGTTTTTAGTGTAGTTACAGTTATTCTATCGGAAGCACACTGTAATATAAGTTATTTCATGAGTAAATAGGAAGAAAGTGTGCAAAAAGAATTCTTGGCACATCTTAAATATTATGCTTTCTCCAATGCATAGATTGAATATGATTGGTGTGAACATTAAAATGCTCAATCCAAGAGCAATCAGTGATGATGCACAGCTCGTAGTCAGCTTCTATTCAAGTAGCTTGATTTATTTTGTTCAAATTTATAAACAAGCTAAATTCAAATAGGGTTGACTTGCTTAAGGGCTCATTTGCACCCCCTTACATTCACATGACCAGAATTTCATATGCATTGTGATGTTCGGCACAAAACTAATTCTGAAACTGAACCTGAAACTTCTGAGTCAATTTGTTTTTTAAGAAGTTTCTTGAAAGTTGAAAGTGCATATAAAACATTATCCTGTATGTGAGTGATAGACAACATCATATATGATTGAGAGACAACAGTACCCTGGGCGTTACATCTCTCATAAGGTTGCACAATGCACATATACTCCGATAACTAATCTTCTTGTTAGAATTGGTCAGATCTCTTAGGTGCAAAATTAGATAGAAAGCCTGTCTTAAATGTTCTGAACACAATTATTCATCTGAAGGGGGTAGTTCCATGCTCTCTGTTACCATATTTAACTCAAGATGCAAATTTTGTATCTGGACAATGCTTCCATATTTAACTTGCTGTCTACATATTTATTGTAGCCAAGTGCTCTGGTGTGTGAGGCATACTGTCTTTTCTTTTCATTACATATTTAATCTACTTATTACTGCAAAACAGTTAAAAGCTTTTTTATATAATTTATGTAAACAATATCATTCATGAGGTCCATGGATTGAAGAAATGTTACTAGCAGTAGCGTACATAAACATGTTGCAGAGTTTCTCTACAACCAAGGGGACGTATAGGATTTTTAACCCTCGAACAGCATACATGTAATTGCGCATAATTGAAGCAGTTACATGCATTCTAGCCTGGGTATCTAGAAGGGGAAGAGTGCAGTAGGAGTTGTTGAATTCGCCTAGTTCCACATTGGGTCTCAGTATATCTAATTGCTTTATCAGATGCCTCGTAATCGATCAAAGCTGTCAAAACTGGAATCATTTTCAATTCCCTATTTCCTTTCATGCATAGACATTAAATCCAATCTTTCCTTAAATTACTTATCACTTTAAGTTCTTAACAAATAGATCCCTTATGCAACACTGAAGGCTGAAACCCAATGGATAAATAATAGAACTGTATGTTGGCACCATGTGCAGCGGATCTTGCAGGTTTCTCTGTTCTGTCATGTACCTCTTTCTACTATTGACAATCATTACCTTTTTTCATTATTTTCTGTCATTATGTTCTCTTTTTTCCTACTGAAATACAATATTGCTATCGGCCTTAGTAACATAGACATGTTATCCTCAGGAAAAAGTACGTGCTCTTGCTCCTCAAGCTTGTCACAGAATGTTAAGCGTTTTTTATGGATTGCTTCTCATGTTAGGCATGGCATCAAGAAGTTATAGCTACGACATCAGCCAAGCTATCAAGCAAACCCACATCCATGTTTCCCTTATAAACATTCAGTTACAAACATCTAGGGGTCTCCTTGGTAATTAAAGCTGTTTGGTTAGTTCAAATTTGAGGAAACAGTTGACCATTACATAAACTAATCATAAATAAAAGTCACCATAGGCAATGTTTTGATGGTTTTGTATTTTCCCTGCTCTCAAGTTAGCTATGAAATATAACGTTGGCTTCCTTTCAATTGCTGACAACTTCACTCAGTGTATCTTAACCAGTTTTTGTATTTTGTTACATACTTACATTAATTTCCCATCACTATGCCTCCGTTATTTATGGGTATTTAGAGAAATTAATCCTCTATCTTGCACGCTTTTCTTGTTAACTGAGATTATTCACCATAAGACTTTTACAATCTTTCATTTTCTCTTGACTCCAGGATACTACATTTTACAAGACTATCCTCCATGAGTATGCAGCCAAGATGAAAATAGAGCTGCCTAGATATACAACCTCCAAATCAGGGGCACACTTTTCAACATTTATTACTTCTGTGTTCTTTGACGGAAAAACTTATAAAGGTGTTCCAGCTAGGAGCAAAAGAGATGCTGAGCAGCTTGGAGCTCGCTCTGTTGTTGACTGGATATTAGGTTTGCTTCTCTCCTTGGTTGATTATGATTTGAACTTTGGAAATGGTAAAATTGGGTTCTAAGTATAACTGATTTGTGCTCCATCTATAATTCCAGGTAAATCTGATAGGAGCATTGTTATGGCTGAGATTATTAAGTCAAAGGGCAAATTCTTTGATGCATTTAGTAGTGGCAATGGTTCATTTGTGCCACATGATGATGATATGCCCTTGAAAACGACTCTTGATAATCAACATGGTTCTATTGTTGCCTCTGAAAAAGACATGCATGCTGGTTCAACTGCACCACAAAACAATATTGTTCTCTTAAATGCATCTTTTGCTAATCATCCTGGTCATAGCAATGGCAAGGAAAACAACATGCATGTTTTATCAAGAAGTAGTAACCTACCAGGTATTTTATATTCATATGTGTTGCTTTTGCTATTTCAAAATTTGAATTTGATGTGTTATCTTGGAAAGTTCCTGCAGGAGTTCACCCGACACTACCAGCCACGGTAGAAAATGCCAAAGAAAAAACTCGACAATGGAACAACCAACCTCAAGGCTCAACAAATGAACATCTCTACTATGCCACCAGTGAATCTTGCCCTCCACAGGTAATTGTAGTTAAAATCGCAGACCTATCAGATGGTCCAGCAATAGTTTCAGGAACCAAAATCCCAACAGCAGCGGAAAGCGCTTCTGCAAGAACAAAAAGGGTGGCGCTTTCAAGAAAAATATACACTATTTTTGTCATCACTATGATCACGTTATTTTGTGGTTTGTTCTTGCTAACTTTGGTTATTCTATCTTTCAGACTTTCACAAGCTCATTTTCTCTCTGCTCCAGGATAATATATTTTGCAAATCTATCCTCTATGAGTATGCAGCTAAGATGAGAATGGGGCTGCCAACATATACAACTTCCCAGTTAGCGGGGCTGTTTCCGACATTTATTTCTTCTGTTGTCTTTGACGGGAAAATGTATGTAGGTGGTCCTGGAAGGAGCAAAAAAGAGGCTGAACAGTTTGGAGCTCGCACTGTTATTGACCATATATTGGGTTTGTTCCTCTCATTAGTTGATTAAGAGATGAGCTGAGAATTTTGGTAAAATTAACTTCTGAAAAAAGCTGATTAGTGTCCCATCTATGATTGCAGGTGAATCTGATATGAGCACTGTTATGACTGAGGTTATTAAGTCAAAGGGCATACTAGTTGATGCATTTAACAGGGGTAGTGGTCAAATTGTGCCGCAGGACGATAATATGCCCTTGAAACTAACTCTTGATAACCACTCTGGTTATACTGCTTTGTTTGAAAATGGCATGCATGTTTTACCAACAAATGACAATCTCCCAGGTAATTTGTATTCATATGTTTTGCTTGTCATGGTTTTGCTAATGCTGCAATAACAAATTTTCCTGTTTAATACATTTTGATTAAAATTAGTGAAATGGCTGATGTAGAAAGTCAAATAACAAAGTAGCACATGTTTGTGCCCTGTTGGGAAAAATATGTGCTAAACTGTTAAATTACATTTTCCATCCGCTACTTCTAAATTTTTACTTGATGTGTTATCTTGAAAAGTTCCTGCAGCAGATCACTCTATACTACCAACTATAGAAAACCCCAAAGGAAAAACTGTCAGAAAGAACAGTCAACCCGAGGGCCCAACAAGTGGACATCTCGGCCGTGTCTCCAATAATTCTTCCCCTGCACAGGTAATTGGAGTTGAAACAGAGGTTGTGTCAGATGATCAAGCAAGGCTGTCAGGTCACATGCAGATCCCAGGTCCCAGCAACAGCAAGAAACGCTCCCGCAAGAACAAAAAACACGGTGCTTCCAAGATAATGCGAACCCTTCCTTAAGAGAACAAACAGGACTATGGTTCCAATAAAATGCTATAGGACAAATGGTAAGTAATTAATAGTCCTATACTAAGATTGCTTTATATATATTTATTCTTCCATCTTTTATTGTTCTACAACACACACACACACACACAAAGGGCAAAATACAATTTAATTTCTGTTTTTGTCTGCCATTTTGTTAAAAAATAATATGCTATTGTTATTGATTCTATACTAAGTAAATGGTGCTCTATTCCTATTCAAAAGCTCCTAGTTTTATGAACAAATTACTTTTCGTATCTTTTCTGACATTTTATTCCGTTTCTCTATATATGCACAGTTAAATTCTTTATTTATTCGTTTTAAGTTAGATCACGCTTTCTCTTGTTTGATTGATGCTCTGATCTTTTACTCCATTTCATTCTTAGTGAGTGTATTTTAAGTTTTCACTTTAATTTAAGCCCTTGCAGAAAATATGCTTGTTTCTGGTTGTGTGTTTCTACTGCAATTTGAGTGAAGTTCTTGTGTGTGCATCAACAGAAGAATTTATATGCTTGTATTAGATGTTCATCAGAAAAACCTAGTGGTATATACAATATCTCTAGTTGCCTGTGTAAGCACTATGACTTCTTTAACCCATCATTTGAATCGAACAATTTTTTTTAACTACAGTTTTTCTTGTCTTATGCAAATCATTAGCTGTTTCACTTCCATCCAAATAAGTGTGTAATATTTTGACCAAACTAGCTATCAAACTCCTCAAATTATATTAAACATTAGCATCCATCTATTCCAAGGCCCTCCCTTTGATAAATTGGACTCTGTACAACTTTAATGATAATGAACAAAGAGTCCTGGTTACCTTTATAGGAAGTTCATAGGGATGTTAATTTATTTTACTCTTGTCAACTAATATTTTGATTAAACAAATGGGCATGAAATTAGAGAGTTTCTTTATTCTACCATGCCTTCCCTTTGCAATAAAAAATTCTTCGGAACATTTATTTCCTCTTGGACATTAGTATGAAAACATGCAGACTGACCAATTGTAGTTCATTGTTAGAGTATAAAATTATAACCCCTAAATTGTCACAACTTGAGAGTTTTGGTGTAGCAGTAGGGTCCTTTGAGGTATTAGAGCAACCAGGTTCAAAGCTGGTCATGAATTTAAAATGGACATTAAAAGAACTGATATCGTTGTGTTAAGTCCATGTTTCTGTTCAAAGCTCAACCAGCGGGGGCATCTTAGAGTTAAAAAAAAAAAAAAAAAAATCCCGTATGAGGTTTTTAGGTGGGGCATCTTAGAGTTAAAAAAAAAAAAAAAAAAATCCCGTATGAGGTTTTTAGGTATCGAGGGGTCCATTGACATTCATCGAAGAATCTCCTATTGGTATCTGTAGTATTTGTTTTTCTTAATGAGGTGTGTTCTTCTTACAATGCCAACTTATACAGACAAATAAGTTAACCACATAGTTGGAAGTCGCTAATTTTTTCCTCTTACTTTTCCAGATTCAGTTTTGGAATGCCAAGGAAAGCTTTTAAGCTCTGCTTCAGCTGTAAGTTGTTGACATGATGCATGTGTTGTTTTACATATGAAAAAAGTTGTATCCTGATCCTAGCTGCTTTAATTAGATTATGACCAGCTTTAATATCTTATTAACCCCATGCAACATGTTACCAGTATGCAGTATAATTATCAAGTTAGCTATATCGTTGCTGTTCCCAATATCCAACGAACTTATGTAAACGACATTCAACTGTCACTGGCTGGTGTTCTCTATTCTTGTATGATATAAATTATCCTTAGTTTTCATCTCAGGTTCATTGTTCTGTTGGCTGGAGTTTCTTTTTACTGGATGAGCTTGTTTTCTTTGAATCTTGCTAAATCTTTGCTTGTTATTTGGAGTATGGAATTCTTTTATAGTCATCCTACATTTACACTGATATGTCGGTTATACCTCTTATGTTCCTCATGTTTCGTTACTTCGATATTGGCTGAGTTCAACCCCTTTGTTGTCTTTCTCAACAACACTTAATTCATGTGACTTGAACTTGAAGATGCACGTAGCATCTCCAACCATTTGCCTTGTGAAACATGAATTCTTTATATGTATGTTAAAAAAATTGTGAATGCTAAGTTTTTAGGGGGCATGGATTGATTTTACCCTTGGTTCGTGATACGTTCAGTTTTACGAAGGTCCTGATACTATATCAAAACTCCAAATTTGTGGTGAGTTTGGGGGTTATACTCTCATACTCTCCATGCATGGCTCTAATAACAAACATTTCTAAAAACCGGCAAAATGGGTGTAACCCATATTTACTTTTTACATCTCATATTTCCGACGATGCCCTCTTATTCGCTCCTAACAACCAACAGTAACAAAACGGGTGTAACCCATCTTTATTTTTTACGCCTCATATTTCCAGCAATACCGTCTTAGAGCTTCTCCAACCGAACTTCATCCCATCAATTTGACGCAAAAAAAGTTACTATTTCTCCTCCAAGAGCTACAGTGCTGCGCCAGATTTGGCGCAGCACTGTAGCTTTGGCGCAGTGATATATATTTTTTTTTTAGGCCATGGAGTTTATTATTTTGTTGGTTTTTAATGTTTCTCTTTTTATTCATGATCAAAATATTTCATGGTAGCTTTTATTTTTTTAATTATTTTGATATGAACTATTATAATAAAATTAGATTATAAAATAATTATTAAAATAAAATTCAACAATGGAAAAAATAGATAGTTTAATCCAAACACTTAAAATTTTATAATACTAGAACCAAATAGAACATTGAACATAAACTAGAACAACATTGGAAATTAACACTAATTGCAATACATTAAAATTAAAGGAAAATAGAACATTGAACATAAACTAAAACAACATTTCAGTATTCTAGGAAATTATCATCAGAAGGACGAAGATGCTCGAAATATTGGGCAAAAGTACCAGAACCGGTATTTTGAGATCCTTCACCTTGTTTAGTTCTTTTATGCATAATTCTTGATTGTTCTTGTACAAGAAACTCATGTAGTTTTGGATCAGTTACTTGTGTCAAATCTTTCAGTAAAATTAAATTTTCTTCTCGTAATTCTTCCACGTCCACTTTTTTGGCTGCAGTTTGAGCTCGTAACATTTGGATTTCATAATTTAGTTGCCTATCAGCATTATTTTTTTCCATAATTGCAAGCATTTTTTGATTCTCTTCTTTCATATACTCCATAAACTTAGAACTTTCTTCATCATTTCTCTTTTTAAATTTTGCTTTCCGTACCCCTATAGGTCTTTCAGAAGTACCACCAAAATCATTGTCATTCATATTAAAATCGAATGAAGCCAGTCCAGGAGATGCTTGTGTGGGAGAGTCTGAAGTGGGAGAGTACTCTGATTGTGATGATGCAAAGTTACCATGTTGCATACGTCCCACTTGAATTCCAGCATTAACATCTGCAAATTTTTCGATATCTTTCAAGATGGGCCATACATGATCGAATTTGAATCCCTTCTTATAATTCTTATCCTGAGCAAACAACACTTTAGCCCGATTGAACTGCAAAATGATATAAATATATAAAATTAAAATTCAATCATAAATTAAATCTCAAAAATATTTGTAACAAATAACACTTACAATATCTTGTTCAGAAGCACCGCTTGGATTTAAATTTTCAACCTGTCTTACACATCCCCTCATCTTGCCAATTGCAGTTAACAGAGTTTGCATTCGACATTGCAAAGATCTTCTGGGTCGAACTTGAGTGATAAAAGCAGGCATTGAGCTATGATAATCACTCTCAACTCGAGACCAAAATTGATCCTTAGATTGGTTTATACCTATGATCGGATTTTGGGAAATGTCAAGATATACATGGCAGAGGTGGCATTTGTGTATGAAGAACTTCGTTGATTTGAAGTCATCTATAACACAAATGAAGAAGATGTATGTTTCTTGAAGTATGATATGTTATTTATAGATGAAAAATGAAAGTGACAACATTTCAAAGAAAAGACATATCAATGACAACATATCAACTTCAAACACTTCATGACAACATATCAAAGAAAAGACACATCAATGACAACATATCAACTTCTATCACACATCAATGACAACATATCAACTTCTATCACACATCAATGACAACATATCAACTTCTATCACTTCATGACGACATTTCAAAGAAAAGACACCTCAATGACAACATATCAACTTCAAACAATTCATGACAACATATCAAAGAAAAGACACATCAATGACAACATATCAACTTCAAACAGACAACATATCAACTTCAAACACTTCATGACAACATTTCAAAGAAAAGACACATCAATGACAACATATCAACTTCTAGCACTTCATGATAACTCTTCATGACAACATTTCAACTTCCAACACTTCCCGTTTATCATCTCCATCTATTATAAAAGCTCATATTGATGAGTTTGCTAAAATCATAAACCTTTATTTTCAAAAAAAATGAATTTTAACAATAGAGATCCTTCTAATTTGTCATCATCATTTTCTGATAATGAAATTGAAGATGAACAATTGATAGATGATATTGAAGCGATTGATGCAGAAAGGGAAGCGGTGTTTCGCATCAGGAACAACAACAATCTTCTCATGGCTTACTATATCAATCAACAAAACAACCAAGTAATTCGTGGAGGCTCAATTCCTGGTCATATAGTGATCAACCGTGATCGAGAAAATGCTGATCGTAATCTGTTCAACGACTACTTCTCTGAGAATCCGCGATATAATGATTCGATGTTCCGCCGACGATTTCGAATGTCTCGAGATTTATTCCTTCGCATTGTTAACGCCATAAAAGCTCACGACACTTACTTTATACAGCAAAGGGATGGGGTCGGTAGACTTGGATTGTCTACGCTTCAAAAAATTACAGCTGTGTTCCGAATGTTGGCATATGGTCTACCAGCGGATGCTACTGATGAATACATTAAAATAGGAGAGTCGACAGCAATCGAAAGTTTTAAGAGATTTTGTCGTGCTGTTGTGGAGGTTTTTGCAGAACAATATCTGAGATCGCCTAACACTAATGACATTGCCAGACTACTACATATTGCTAAACAACGAGGTTTTCCAGGAATGTTGGGCAGTCTAGATTGCATGCATTGGAAATGGAAAAATTGTCCAACGGCTTGGGCGGGCCAATACGCAGGTCGTAGTTGATCCCCAACTATTATTCTGGAGGCCGTAGCTGATTATGATCTTTGGATATGGCATGCATATTTTGGTTTGCCAGGTTCCAATAATGACATTAATGTTTTAGAGGCATCTCATCTTTTTGCAAAACTCGCTGAAGGTATTGCTCCTCCTGCTCATTATGTCATTCAAGGTAAACATTATAACATGGGTTACTATTTAGCTGATGGTATATATCCAAAATGGTCTACTCTTGTACAAACAATTCATGATCCTCGTGGTCCAAAAAAAAAGTTGTTTGCAATGAAGCAAGAAGGATGCAGAAAAGATGTAGAACGTGCATTCGGAGTACTCCAATCTCGATTTGCAATTGTGTCAGGACCAGCTCGTTTTTGGAAAAAAGAAGTATTACATGATATCATGACTGCGTGCATTATTATGCACAACATGATAATTGAGGATGAACGTGATCTTAATGCTACAATTGAAAATTGGAAGGAAGCACCAGTTCCGGACGTAGAGATGGTTGTAGATGAAAATGCTCGGTTTGAAGGATTTCTGGCTCGTCATCGACAAATCAAGAATAAAGAAGCTCATATTGCACTTCGAGATGCATTAATTGATCATTTGTGGGATGAATATACTAATTCGGAGACTTAGAATTTTATCAATATGGACCGTGTCTTTGTGTTTTATTTTATGTTAAATGTAATGCCTTTTATTTTTATTTTATTTTTTGCTTGCAAGTGTGATGTTTTCTTTTGTGATGTTAAATGTAATCTTTAGTTGAAGTTATGAAAGTAATATTTTAATTTGATTTAGCATTTAATTTTTATATTTTTATTTTATTCATAAAATATATTATTATAATTAATTATATGTATTATATAATTATATAATTATATAATTTGTTAAATATTTTTAATTTCAAAAAATGTTAAAAGATAAGAATAATAAGAGGAATATTCCAATTTGGTGTAACATTTGGTGTAATGGGTTGGAGATGGAATAGTAATTTGGTGTAAAAACTACACCAATTTGGTGTAAAAACTACACCATTTTGAGTTTTATGGTTGGAGATGCTCTTAATGGCTCCCATCAAAGAGCAGACCTTACAGGTTCGGGGGCAAAACCGTCCATCACAATCTTCCTCACCTCCCTATGAAACGCAACCACTGCCTCGCGAGGCAATGAAACCAGAGCCAGCAGCCCCTCCCGGTCATCTTCCTCTCTCCTGTACCCCACCAAGGACGTCACCATCCCTGGCACAGCCCCAGTGCCAGCCCTCGCGGGCCCACCGTAGATCCCTAGACCCCACCCAAAGTCCACATCAGCAAACCTCAACCTGCTCATGTCAGATACCACCAACGCCGCCAGCCCGCTGCAGAACCCCCTCCTCCCGTTGACCTCGATAAAGTCAACCGTTGATGACCTGTACTCGTCGTTTGACGTGACGCTTTAATGGCTGCGATTTGATTGCGGCTTGTCTTCAACGGTGTCCGAGGAGGTCGCTGGCGTCCGGTTATGCCGCACGGGAAGACCACAGCGCGCACCATATGTTAGGTCGCTGGGAGACGGGGCGGTGCGGGACGAGTGTCACTGGGAAGAGGAGGCGGGTGGTCCCACAAGACTGAGGGCATGGGTCCGGGCTCTCCTCAGAGACAGGCGGCGACAGAATCTAAGGTGGGGTCCAGAGGCGTTCCTGCCGCTTGAGGGATGCCACGTCAGTGCGTCCCCGAGGCGGTCTGCCGCTTGAGGGACGTCCGTCGGTGCGCGGAGAAGATACGGAAGTCTGAGTAAGCTGGCGGAAGTCGAGTTCAGTCGGAGGCGATGGAAGTGGAGTTACATTGTCCACTTGGTCATATTCCGGATGTGTGTAAGTGACATTCGGAGGTGATCGTGGAGCGAGGATTTCACGGGACCACGCAGGAATGATCGACGGCGAAGTGAGGGTGGGGTTGCGGGCGAGTTCGGCGACCGCGGTTATGAATTGGTGCGCGCCGAAACCGTCGCAAATACAGTGGTTGAAGGTGTAAGCGAGTATAAAGCCACCGCATGCAAGTCGAGTCACCTGAAAATGACACAGGTGGAGTCACACGAAGTCCAATAAATTCATGGGCCGGGCCCCAATGCAATGTACTAGTACCTGAACCCTAAGCAAAGGAGAGTTTATGATTGAGTTACATCCCCAAACATCGTTCACTAGAAATCGATCCAAATGTCGAAATGGGGGTCGGATGCCCCCGTTGGCTTTGCGTAGCAGTTCGATCGTAACGTCTGCATCCGCGTCTCTATAAACCATGCCCTCTCCGGTGCACTCTACCACTAGCTTTTCCTTCCCTCCGTTCCTCAGCCGCCCCGCTAACGGATAATAGTGAATCAGAGCCCGAGACAGAGCTTGATGTATAATTGGCCCAGGGTCACAGCCTGGCCCATTTTGAGGCCTGCGATAGACATGGATGAACGGAATGTGATTACGGAGGCCCATTTGGTCATCGATGTTCGATAAGTACTTGAATTCATGAGGCGTCGGAGTCTCCGGAGCGACGAGCGTTGGCTGGCCGATCGTGACGGAAAAGTCTGACGTAGCCATTTTTATTAGTTTCTATGATGATTGGAATTGTAATGAGGACTTTGATGACGGAAAAGTCTGACGTAGCCATTTTTATTAGTTTCTATGATGATTGGAATTGTAATGAGGACTTTGATGGAATGTTAGCTTTATATGTATGGTGATATTAGTTTCTATGATGATTGGAATTGTAATGAGGACTTTGATGGAATGTTAGCTTTATATGTATGGTGACATATGAGGAATTATGAGACGGAACCTAGCCAGGCTCATGTTGAGGTTCGCAAGTTTTTCAGTTTGAGGGGTGTTTTTGTAAAAATATAGGTTAATCTCGTGACTTGTTCTCTCATTTGGTGACGTCGCGGTCTAGTCCACGTTGGATATTATCAATGAAACCGCGGGTGCTCAGTTGGTATTTGGACAGTTAAAAGACTAAAATACCCTTAACTTGGATTTGGGGATTTCAGCTTTAACAGAATCGGGAATCTTATACGTTTCTGTTATGAACAGCTTAACGAAAAGGGGTACTGGGCCGAAGAGGGTAACGTGTAAAGGTTATTACAATAATTCCATTGTAAGCTTTTCTTCATTCTTTCTTTTTTAATTTTCTTTTTATTTTGCAATTATATATATATATATTTGGGGATTTCAGCTTTAACAGAATCGGGAATCTTATACGTTTCTGTTATGAACAGCTTAACGAAAAGGGGTACTGGGCCGAAGAGGGTAACGTGTAAAGGTTATTACAATAATTCCATTGTAAGCTTTTCTTCATTCTTTCTTTTTTAATTTTCTTTTTATCTTGCAATTATATATATATATATATATAATGAACAGCTTAACGAAAAGGGGTACTGGGCCGAAGAGGGTAACGTGTAAAGGTTATTACAATAATTCCATTGTAAGCTTTTCTTCATTCTTTCTTTTTTATTTTTCTTTTTATTTTGCAATTATATATATATATAATATATAGGTATTATATATATATAATATTATATATATATATTATATATATATATATTATATATATATATATTAATATATTAAAGAGAGAGAGGAGAGAAGAGAGAGAGAGATATTAATGAGTATCCTTGTCATAGGAGGATTTCCTCCTGTGACGCCTTCTAAAATCACATGATAAGCGACATTGTGGATGATCCGCTTCTTGCTTGAACTTGATCTACATATTCTAAACCTCAACACACCAAGTTTGAGGTGAACCCGTCGTCGTTTTGACCTTCATCCACTCGTATCAATTTTAACGTTGAATGAATAGAACTTTTCACATTGCTCGATGGAGGGTAAACGACGACGGATTCACCTCAAACTTGGTGTGTTGGGTTTTAAGGAATATGCAGATAAGTCTTCAACGGAGCGGATCATCCTAATGTCGCCTCAATCATGTGATTTTAGATGCGTCAATGAGAAATGCCTCCTCATGACAAGGCATTACTCCCATTAATCTCATATATAAACTATATATACTTATATATATATATATATATATATATATATATATATATAACTTAATCTCCATATATATATATATATATTATATATTATCTATATATTATATTATATATATAAATATATATATATATTAAATCTCATATATATAATATTATATACTATATATATATTATATATAATATATAATAATATATATATTATATATATATATTATTATATATATATTATATATTATATATATATATATATATTAATGGGTAATCCTTGTCATAGCGAGGGATTTCTCTATGACGCTCTAAAATCACATGATTTGAGACGATATTATGGATGATCCGCTTCCGTTGAACTTGATCTACATATTCTAAACCCCACACACCAAGTTTGGGTGAACCCAGTCGTCGTTTGACGCCTTCATCCACTTCGTATCTCAATTTTACGGTTTTGAATGAATAGAACTTTTCACATGCTCGATGAGTGTTCAAACGACGACGGATTCATCCAAACTTTGGTGTGTTTGGCGTTTTAGAAATATCTGTGATACAAGTTCAACGGAGCCGGATCATCCATAATGTCGCTCAATTCATGTGATTTTAGAGACGTCAATGATGGAAATCCCCTCCGTATGACAAGGTATACCCATTAATCTCATATATATATATATATATATATATATATATATATATATATATTATATATATTATTAATATATTATTATATATATTATATATATATATATGTGTATGCTTGGTACCAAGCATAAAATTTGATATTGGTAGTGAGGTGTCACTTTCCCATTCCTCATTACATATCCAACTTCTCCCCAACCCTATGGTGTGGGCCGATTTCAATGAGTGGATGAGGAAGGACAACCACTACCAAGCACCATTTTGTGCTTGGTAACCAGCATACCCATTTCCTCTCTTCTCTCTCTCTCTCTCTTCTCTAATATATATATATATATATATATTATATAACTATATATATATTATATATATATATTATATATATATATATATATATATATATTATATGAGCATATGGTATGCTTGGTACCAAGCCCACAAAAAGTTATGCTTGGTAGTGATGTGTCACATCCCCCGCCACTCATTTCAAATATGTGACCACATTCACATGGGCGGGGATAGTGAAGTGGATGAGGATGTGCCACACTCACTACCATAGCACAAAATTTGTGATTGTAAAGCATACCCATTTTTCTATATATATATATACTATATATATATATATATATATATTATATATATATATAATTATATATATAATATATATATGAGCAAATATGGGTATGCTTGACAAGCACAAAAAGTTGTGCTTGGTAGCGAGATGTCAAATTCCCCTCCACTCATTCAAAATATTGGGAACAAATTCACATGAGTTAGTGAGTGGATGAGGATGTGACACATTACTACCAAGCACGAAAAATTTGGTTTGGTACCAAGCATACACATATTTCTCTGTTCTCTCTCCTCTCTCTCCTCTCTCTATAATATATATATATATATTATATAATATATATATTATATATATATATATATATATATAGTTATATATATTGATTTGGTTATATAGCTGTACAAAAAATTGAATCTACCAAAGACCGAAATAATAGTAAAATAGTGAAGAAGAGGTAGAATCTTAAGGGACATCCTTGTGTTAAAATTTTAAATCTTGTTACCAGAGTACTAGAGTGGGTATAACTGTTAGGGCATGCAAATCAAACAGTTCGATTCGATTAATTTTGATAAATTTTAGTTAAATTGAACCAAATCATCCTAGATTCGAGACCGAACAATTGGGTTCGGTTCAGTTTGTTCTATTTGTTCTTGGACCTACTTAAAAAAAATTAGATATTTTCACTCAAAATAATGATGTGAATAAAGGGATTCATTAAGGAAAAATGCATATCAAAGGATGAGTGTACGATATGGATATCCATTACAATAATAAATCAATAGGAAAGCTAATTTCTAATACAAAACTGCCTAATTATCTTTATTAGTTCAATGCCCAATTCAATTCCAACCCTGTTAATTTTGGGTTACTCTCGGGGTTTATTTAAGTTGATACGTTCATTGTTAAACCTTAATTTTCTCAAATTTCTTCAATGGCTGAAAAAAGCCAATTCACTACTAAAAAGTTGTGGAGAGATCACTGCTTCTAATCTACCATTCAATTGCTTGTAATTCATCTTCTTGAGTTCAAAATAAGATTTACTATGATTCACGGGAGTATGATAAATGTTATATTTAAAAGAATAAAAATCTTCTACAACCATCCATCAAAAAATTAACAATTGAATTGAAAAGTAATGGTCTCTCCACTACTTTTTGACGGTGGAGAGAATCCAAATCTTATTGTGAAGTAAATCTATATTTCAAGAAATTCTAGTTAGACTTAGATTGAAGAATAAATTTGATTGGAAAGAATTAATTATAATTAGAATTAAAGTCTAATTTGAAGAAAATTAGAGCTAATAATCCAAGTCAAAAAAGAAGTTTTCCTTGAATTCAAAATAGGGGAAAGCTCTTTAAATATCTCTTGAGTGGTTCATTGTCAATCAAACCATAGGAAAGACAAGGAGAGTTGCATATTGCAAGAGAGATAGAGAGAACTAAGGAGAGAAATTTAGGATTTTGAGAGATAGTTTGATGAGATTGAGAGAGGATTTGTTGTGGAATCTTTAAGATCATAAGAATAGATTGTATATCATGAATCTCTAGAATAAAAGAAGACACAAATCTCTCCATATAGACGTAAGCAATTGACGAACCACATAAATTCCTTATCGTCGTACTCTATTTAGCTTTTCTTTTTTGCAGTTTTATTGCTTTCTTTTTGTTCGAACAAATTTTGTCGAGGTTTTCTACATAACTCTATAATTGATTGTCTATGAAGAAGGAGGAGATCTAGTTAAAGGTTTTGGTGACGCTTCCGTAGACAGTGCTTCATATTGAACACTAATTAGTGGCCACGATCAGGGTCAGATTGTGGGTAGCACCTGCCAATAACTAGTAGCATGTAAGACCCCGGTAATTTTGAAACTATTATGGAAAATAAACACGTTTTAAACGGTTCCAAAACCGTTTTGCATGTAAGGGGGCATTAAACTCCCATTATGAAGCGATTTAAGGGGTCAGTTACACCCCATAAACCCTATAAATAGCTGTGTTTATAGCTGAAAAAAGGTCGGAACCTTTGGAGCTTGATTTTGGCTTTGGTGAAGGCTTTTATTGGAGCTTTGGAGCAATTTGCCTTGGCTTTTGAACTATGTTTCGGTTGAAGAAGTTAGAGATCAACTGTTTAGCCGATTTCAGTTAAAAAGGATCAATTTCCTTTCAAAAATTAACTCTTTCATAGAGTTCATAAACTCTTTTAGAGTTCTAAACTTGCCTTGCAAGTTCTTCCCGATGTTAAGACAAGAGGAATAGACATCGTTCCATGAAGCGAAATGCTCAGATTGTCAACGAGATACAAGATTCAAACTCTCATCGCCACCAAGAAGAACCCAGTTTTAAATAAAGAGGAGGATA